GGTGGTGGTGGTGGTGGTGGTGGTAATAATGGTGGTGGTGATAATAATGGTTTTGATGATGGTGGTGGTGGAGGTGATAATAGTGGTGGTGGTGGTGGTGATAATGGTGGTGGTAGTGGAAATGGTGGTGGATCTAGTACAAGAAATATAGATTTTCGTATTAATTCTGTTACACAAATAATGCAAACTATAACATTTTTCAAAACGTCCGTTATTTCCAAGTTCTCATCAAGTATTAACATAGTGCAATCCACAGAGCAAAACAGTTACACGAGTGTGGTCATAAATTCATTAAATTCTAATCAAAAAGAATTCCAAATGAATGTCGATTACTTGGACAGTATTGTTTCGGCAACAGTGGATTATATAACTGAAACTACAGAATACGGTTCCGATGAATATTTTGAGGGGCTAAATGCAGTTTACACAGACACTGAGGAAAAGATGGAAATTTTGTCCAACTATATTGAAACAACCGTTAGAAGAGCTAACTATTTTTCATTGGATGGTTCGGAATATATACTTATTCAGCAAACCACTTCGTACAAGGATTTCGTTATTAAAATGTACCAAGTATTTGGAATAGATTACGAGGAAGTATATAACACAGAGGATGATGCTAATTCATTCATTACAAACAGCATTTTAAAATTCAGTGAAGTGTGCTTAACTTTAGTTACATCGGTTCAAATGTCAGAGGATACTTGTTATAGAGAATTACTTTTATTAAAATTACAAAAAACTCAAAAAATGTTTCTAGAGACATGCGATTCCATAAACACTCAAATTAATGAATCGCAAGAGTTTATTAGTCAAAGTGATGCAAATAGCAAAAAAGCTTTTTATCAAGATGTTACGGAATGGGTTGAAACTATAACTGTGGTTTATTCTGGTGTTCTTTTAAAAGTCAATTCATATTCAAAGAGCACTACCGTGAATGTCTTTCAGTCGGAATTTCAAATTATTCAATATCAGTACACAATTATAGAAAGCTACAATCAAACGATAACAAATTAGTAAAATTAAACGGTCAGTGTACAAGAAAAACAAGTAGTAAAACATAGTGGTTAAATTCCAGAAAATACTATAGAAGAAGACGTAGTTTCTCAACCATAATTAGATTCCCAAAAACACCCTTCGTTTTTTTTAGCTCACATTAAATTACTCTTAAAACCAATTATTTTGTCACGTATTTTGAATTATGTAACTATACAATAAATCATGATTATCTCGATTAATCTCTATAGCAAGTATAGTTTAGTATCTTTATTTTAAAATTACTATAAAGTGCAATCATATCGAATAATAAAGTTAAATATAAACCTGTTTTGGTGCACTCTAATATAATTTGTCATTGTTTTTTAAAAGCAAAATTATTATTTTCATTTATTTTTAAAACGTCAAGAAAATTTTTTTTTAAGTATAAACAAACTTTTATTGGATATTTTATTGAAGCTGGAGCTTATAGTTATTGGAGTTTAAATAACTATGTAATATTCATGAATAAAAACATTTTAAGTTCTTTAATGGGCTATACATATAAAAGATAATATGCATTTACAATTATTTAAATTAGTGCGCTAAAAAAGTGAATCGTTACCTTAGTGTGTTAGAATAATTCCAATATTACGCTAAAGAAAATTAAAATTAAAAATACGACTAAGGCCGGGCGCACACTGCGACGCAGCGCAGCGCAGCATTGTTTTCTGTAATCTATTAGAATGTACTAGCGCATATTTGGAGGCAGGACAGGGCAGAGCAGAACTGTACCTGTGTCGATCTGCATTATACAGTGTTCGCGACAGTTTATTGCGCACATGCCACATATGTTTGGAATATTTTCCAGTTATGCCGGCCTAACATAATTTCTACTTTTTTAATTTTAATTCAATATTTAATTTTTAATTTTTATTTTATTATGGAAGAGTCTGTGATTGAAGCCGTCCGACATTACAGTATCTTATATGACACTAGTCATGTCAATTATATGAAGATAAAATTAAAAAATTAATTTTTTTTATAAAATTAGTTTTTCTCCATTTTTTTTTTTTATATATTTAACGAGTATAATAAAATAAATTCATAAAATTCATCATCAGAAACTGATTCAGAACTTCAATTTATTAAATCGTCTGCTATAATTTCACTTAAGACTAGGTGAATGGCGACATAGAACTGCGTAGTAATTATGAGTATGCGCTCACATAGCTGACACAGTTTTTCCTGCACTATGCTGCCCTACGTTGTGCAGCGTCATCTGCGTCTCAATGTGCTACCGGCCTTGGAATTTTTTATATTAATTATAATACACAATTACTAATATATGGGTAAGTATTATTTATTTGTTAGACTTAATAGCCGTTTTTGTTTATTTTCAAAAGGCCAGACCAAATTATATTTGATGCTTGAAATATAGTAATTAATAAAATTATTTTCTGTAGGAAAATATTTTATTCAATCTGCGCATTTTAAATATCAAATATTTTGTGTTTTTAAACCCAATCAATAAAATATTTACTATTTAATATTTATAATATCCTGGAAAATTGATTATTAAAATGAAATTTTCAGTTACAATTTACTGAAATGTTTGTGTTTTGATCACTGCAGGAACCAAATCGAATCGAAAAGAACTGGAATCGTAATATTGATAATCCGGACCCGAACTGAAATTTTTAAACTATTAAGGTTCTTTTAGCTTCCAAAATAAAATAGTTTTATTTATCATTACTTATTAGTTATTACCACTTAGTTTATAAATAATCAGGGATCCATTCTCATAATATTAGTACCAAGGATTGTACAAAATTCACATTCTGGATAGGTACCTATTTGAAATAGTTATACTTCTGAAATGTTTATTATATGTATATTTATTATGAATAGAATTCATAAGTTCATGTATTAAAAAACGCATAAATAAGCATGCAATAATGCACACTAATATATGATAAAATATACATTCAAATATGCATTTATATGCATTAAAAATCTTAAACTATGTGGTATATTCACTAAATAAGAAATAATATTTTACTGATATTAGGAACTGGTACCATTATTTTTTTTTAACAAAGAACCGGAACCGTTAAGAATAAATTCAAACGGTTCCAGTACCTGGTTTAGATAACTAGATATGGTCCATATCATATGGATCTAGAACAAGATAAATTTAGCTGATCTTAAATCTATTCAAATAAGATAAAAGTTATTCAAACAGATATTTTCAAACATTTTCAAACAATAAATTATTAATGTTCACTTGGACCAATACTAGCAGGTAGGTAAAAATAGCAATTATTAAATGTGTAAACATTTTTGCCGATGAAAAGACAACGATATAATTATCAAGTAACCAAATTAATAAATTATTTAATTGATTCGTACGTACATAGATATAGAAGCTGTAACACTTGTAGTTTGTGAGTACGTGTATAAGTAAATATGATCAATGCTTGCGTATATTTATATGCTCATGGCACACTTTAATCCATTATTAAAAAATCAATTGAAGTACGAACCGAAAGGTTAGTTTAACCTTTCGAACCAAATTAAACAGTTTTAGTAAATCATTATTTTATTTAAAAATTAAAAAAAATAATTATTGGATGTAAGCTATAAAAATTAGGTAATATATATTAATAAATACCGTTACACAGGAAGTAAATCAATCAAATTAAAGAAATGTGGCATGTGGGATAAGACCACTCGTTTTTTCGATAAGCTTTGCAGACAATTAAAAAGTAAATAAATATCGATGGATGGATCTAACTATGAGCACAATGCGTAGAGAAACCGTGATCATCATAATCATAATGTACGAGAATTAGCCTTTCCCCCTCCGCTTATTCCATATTAATAAATCAAGAACGAAGACTATTTTATGAAGATCGTAATAAGCATATCATAATTAAAGATAAATAGTTTTTGAAATTTCCCATTTACAGAGTAGAAAATAATTATTAAAAAAAAATCCTTTTACAATATTAGAGAAACAGAGAGACTTTAAAAAAATAGTAGTTATGCTATTATAGTAAATAACTAAATAATAAAATTAACTTAAAAATAAATATATTATTTTATGTTATAACATATTAAATCATTCCTTCTTGCGAAAATTAATCTCAAAGTCAAAACTTCAAATTTGTATTTAAACTTTGTTCAAGTTGTATGCAAGGCCAGGTATACAGATAATAAATTATGAATATACAATTGAAACCATCTGCATGTGAAACCAATTTTATTATATTATATATTGTTAACTGACTATGCAGAAACATTATAGTGTTTAATAATGTTATCAGCAGTGGCGGTGCGTCAGGGGAAACTTTGAGACAGCGTCTCCCCAATAATTATAACATTGAAAAAAAAAAATTATTTAAAATTTTTAAAATTATTTTCAAGTATTTGTGTAATCTATGTGTAAATAATATACTGTTGAAAACTATATTTACTATATATATGTATGCGTGTACATAAAATATTATGTCCATCGTGGTGTGATTCAGTGAATACGTATGATTCAATGCAAATACGTTCTGAGCTATTTTTGGATTTAGCGATAACGACGGACGATGCGGTCGTAAAACAAATGAGACGGTCGAACGACTGTCACAATTCTAATAGATAGGAGGAAAATAAAAGTTCGTGGGGGAATCATATCGATAATAGTTACTATACGGAATCCGGGAGACTAGTCTCTGCCATCGGGCGACGTGTTATTCGTTGACCGTTGTGCCGTTAAACCGTGTAATCGTGTATCGTGTGCGTCGCAATCTTGTATTCTTGTAGCGTTTTAATATTGAAAAAAATGGAATCAAAACATTGTACATTAGATGAATTATTAGACAATGATTTTCATTCATTTACGTATGATGAAAAATGTAAATTAAAAAAACAAAAAGTCTACTCCATATTAAATATAGTTTTCATTTTATCGATTGAATATAAAGACGGAAAATATACCCGTCAATTTCAAAGTAGTTGGTATGATAAATTTACGTGGCTTAGTGGTTGTAATAAACGCAACAAACTTTATTGTTTCATTTAGAGATGTTCTGAGTAAAAAATCTGGTACTAAGCCGGGTACCGAGTACTGGCCGAGTAAAATTGTTTATACTAACCGGGTATCGAATATTGGTCGAGTAAAATTTATAGTACTAAGCCGGTATCGAGTATTGGCCGAGTAAAAATTTTAATACAAACCGGGTATCGAGTATAGGCCGAGTAGAAGTGTAAATACAAAATGGGAATTATACTAGTATTAAAGTATCAACTAACAATTACTGATTAAAAATTATTAATAATATAATTTAAGTCTTTAAACAGTTTAAGAACTCAGTAGTCAGTACTGGTACTGGCCACTGGGTAGTTCTTCAATTATAATAAATTAATAACAAAACTTAGCCAAACACTAATACAAATTAAGTAACACTAATACCAGTTGTTTAGATATTAGGCAATAGCTATGTGCAGTTTTGTTCAATAGACAATAATATTGAATAATGAATGAATATTGTAATTTGTAACTAAAAATTCAAATATAAAAAATAATAGAGTTTAAAATTACATAAAATGTATTACGTACCGATAAATGGCACTTTCTCGTCCTCGGCCTCGTCCATTGGATTCATCGAATGAATTTAAAAAAGTTAAAACAAAAAAGCAATAGGTAGAAGGTACTACAACTGTACTAGCTGCGCAGTGTAGACTACTAGACTGTAAAGTGATTACTGATTACTGATTACTTATACTTGAGAATATTTGTATAGTAATAATTTATATTTTATTACGGGTTTTGATTGCAGATTTTTATCATATAATTTATATATAAACATTAGACGGTAAACACGAGATTTATTTTTGTAATTCATAGAAGAAAAACATGATTTGTTTATAATCAACTGGCTATCGTAAATCGGTTCAGTTATTCTAAGTAATATAATAATTAATAAGTACCAAAATAAATTATAATTCATTACCTTAGAGTTTTAGATATTTCCCGTTATGTTAATTATAGGTATTACTATATTTATAAATAGATTGTCGTTTGCCATTGGATATGAGTCGAGTAAAAATGTAGCATTTCGCCGGGTAACGAGTAAGAGCCGGGTAAAAATGTTGGTATTACGCCGGGTACCGAGTAATGCCGGGTAAAAATGTAGATATTACGTCGGGTACCGAGTAAGAGCCGAGTCTTAAATATGATATCGAGTACCCGGCCATCGAGTAATTACCGTGTACCCGGAACATCTCTAGTTTCATTTGTATATTTTTTCGAGGTAAAAAAAGAATGGAGTTTTGATGGAATATCTATTATAAAAAATATTATAAGAAAAGCAG